TTTTCCTCTCTTTGTAACCTTTTTGTTGTTTTTTTTTTTTCTCTCCTGGTTTTGTTTTTTTTTTAAACAATAGCACAAAAAAATGTTTGAGGGAAGCAGTCTGACAGTTAGTCTGATGACCTTCCGAAATACAGTTAAAGCCACACCAAATACGAATTCCTGTTAAAGAAAAAAGAATAAAAGGGGGAGGGAGGGGAAAAATATGGAACTCCCAACCTTTGCACTGTTAGAGGGTGTTGTGGCTGGTTAGTACCAGGCTGCCTCGGGAGGGGATGATGGCACACAGCTTGGACTTCATCATCATCATCACGCCAGTCAGCACTAATTTAAGGCTTCTTAATTACCATCGACATCACGGAAAGGAACGGAAAGCTACGGCCAGGAGGAGGTGGGAGCAGCTGGATCCTTTGGAAAAGCAGTGGTGGCTGGGCCAGGAGAGCCCAGCCCAGCCCCACGGGCATCTCCTCACCTGCATGCACGGGGAGGGGGCGGTTCTGAACTGGAAAAGTGGATTTTGCAGGAGCCTTTCCCTTCCTGGATGTGGCTGTGAAAGGGGTTTTTCCTCCCAGTCCCGTTCTCTCTCTGAAGGAACATCAGCAGGGGGACCCCAGGAAGGGGACAGAGGAGCAACAGAACAGGTTTTGTTTTTGCTGAGAGGTGACAAAAAAGGGAGGAGGGAACCTACAATCCATGGGGTGGGGGGTCTGCAGGAACATCTCCCCAAATCCTTGCCCTCGGGAGGATGCACAGACTGTGTTATACCACTACCTGCCTTCCCCAGGGACCTGTTCCACACCAGCTGGGGCTTCAACCCCTCCTGCCCCAGCCTCTCCACTGACCTAGAAACCACTGGTTGCCTTTTATTTCTTTCTTAGGGGGTGGGGGAGGGTGTAAAAAACAGAACATCTGTCAATAAGAGTGTCAGGAGGGGAGGGGGGTGTTAAATATTTTAACCACTGACAAGGCTTGAGGAAGTTTCACAGTTTTGTTATGCTCTATTTTATTACTATCATATTTACAGATTTCTTTCGGGTTCTTTTTGTTGGTTTTTTTTTTTTCTCTCTTTCTCTTTTTCGCTGGATTTGCCGATAATTTTAACAGAATTTTTTTGTTTGTTGGTTGGTTTGTTTGTTTTTTTCCAAATCTGGAGTGTGTGAGCAGGAGGAACCAGTTAAAACTCTACATTCACGGTCCAATCCCCAACCTGAGGGCTGAGAA